ATTTTTAGTTTCCAATTTGAATTTGTGCATTTGTGGTGTGTTAAATTAGTGTTCTTTACGTACTCAAGTTAGAACTTATAGGAAGCCGACAAGTTCTTCGTGGGATCGACCCCGTACTTATATAATCTATACCTCAATAGATTCGTGCACTTGCAGGTATTTTTAATTGGTTGTTTGCACATTAATTTGTGTCCTTTTACGAGTACAACAGAAAACACACAACTCAGAAACACACAAAAGAGAAAAGAAAGAAGAAAAGAAAGTGAGAAATCAAATGGCCTCTTCCTACCCATTTTCGTTGGATCTCAACCTAGCTCCACCGACTCAGACACGAGGCCAAGCAATGGCACCAGTATGGATGCCCTACTTTGCCTTCGCACGGGGGCCTGTGACAGTAACTGACTCAATACTCCTGGACAACGATGTTGTCATTGGAGTGGCTAGAAATTTAGTGACTCCTAAAGATATACGTGTGCTGGGGACAAGGGATGACAACCGGGTCTTGAGCGATGCCCTAGCACTGAGCGTGCAGAGTACGGCAACAGTCGCAAGTTTGGGTCATCGCCTACTTGCGAAGTCCCATGAGGTAGAGGTGCTGAAAGGTCAGTTGGCGACGGAGCGAAGTATGGTTGAAGAGTGTCAGAGTGCTATAAAAAGCTTGAAAAGGGAGAGGGCAAGGATAATGGAGGTGAATCGACACCAGCTAGAAGTATTGCGGGACGAGAATAAAAACCTATAAAAAATGCGCAACATGCGAAAGCAGCTGGAGGACCTAGACCGACCGGGTAAACGCAAGCAAGCAGATCGCGAGAGTAATTACGCTCAAGCTAAGATTGCGATCTTTGGGAGCTCAAGTGATGAGTCCCAAGAGGCTGTGCGTGAAGCCCTGGAAGAGGACAGCCATAGGGCCAAACTAAAGGCTCCTATGGTCGAGACATCGAGCACTGTGAAAAAGTGATTTCCAATGTTTTTATTTTAAATTTTTTTACTTTGGTTGTTTTTGTTATTGTTATTTTGTTTCGGAAATAAAAGAGTAAGGTTGCAAAAAGAAAAAGAAAAAGAAAAAGAAAACACACTTCCCAAATTAAATAAAACAAAGACGACAAACGGAAAAGAAAACACATTTCCCTAACTAAAATAAACTAAAGATGATAGCCGAAAGGGAAAAGCAAAAACACAAAGCTCTACACTAGAAAATGAAAGTAACGGGCAAAAACATAAAACACCAGAAAACACGGAAGTAATAAATAAATAAATAAATAAAATGAAAGTAAAGGTGCTCCCCTTTGAAGCGATTAGGTCGAGCATGCCCGGGAAATCCAAAATGGTGTTGGCTCCCTCATCAGCATATGTCTATTTAAACCACACCTCTGCAAGCGGATGATACCCTGCATTTCTTCCTGCAAACTCAAGGAAAACCATCAAAAAATCCAGAAACAAAACAATGACATCCTCATGCACTCACCTTGATGATCTCAACCTTGAATTGTCCCTTGCACCTCCGAATGCCCAGAT